CATAGCCCGATTACCGGAAAATCATGGCAGGAAATGGAAGTATAATCCCAAGATCGAACAGCACTACATCGAAGTGGATGAGTCCGGGGAGTTGACAAAGCGATATACCCAAACCAAAGAGGAGGAGGAAATCTGTGGTTCTGCCAGGCCCGTTGAGTTCAGGACCCTGTCCCTGGAGGACCCCGCGGCCATGGATCGAGGAGCTGAGGAAGAGGCTGCCGCTGACCCTCCAGGAAGTGAGCCCAGGCCACCTAATGCGGATGTGGAGAAGCAGGACTGACCGTTTATCGTAGGGGGAACCCTTGTCATGCAAGTATATTTACATTTTTTTGTCTATCAATCGATGACCCAGAGCAGGAAACACATGTGCTGTTGACCAAGTCCATGGAAGCTCTGTTGGCAAAGTCGGCCAAGTTGCGAGACATCGAGTCAAAAGTTGAGAACCCCAGGCCACTTTAGTATTGGTAGGATTGGCGTTCAATGATCACACAATCAAATTTGAATCAACAGTATTTGTTTTCATGAGTGACCTTTGCATCATCTCATTTAAAGCCATACCCTAAGTGTGAAGTCGATCCTCAAGACTGCCTATGAAGCCATGGACACTCACTATGATGCATTGGCTACAAGCCTGGCTCGCTACCGTGCAGTGAAGACAAAACCGTTTGATACGTTTCTTTGGCACAATCATGTTGAATCTATTGTTATAAAATGGTATATAGCAAAAACATTACTGACATTCCATCAGCCCCGGCACTTTGAGGTTGGCTCAGAACATTGACAAGCAATTGGAATACGCAGAAGTCTTGTGCCTTGATTTAAAACCACTCTGAACAACTGGATTTCTATGGGTGGTGGAACCATGGGGTTTATGTTTTTTGCCGTCCCAGGGGAAGCAAGGCTACACGTGCAGAAGTCCAAGCCCAGCATTCGCCCCAGAAAATTCTGGTGAGAACAGTGTGAACATACATGTGCATATGTATATTCATTCATATTATATCATATATATTTGAAGTAGAATCGATCTTATAAAGTCTGATACACATATCACGGTATATCACCACATGGTCATACCTAAGGCCGGCTTTGAAATCTGCCCGGACCAAGCGCAAGTCTGAGAACGACGATACCAATTCTGAGTTGCCAGCACCAAAGGTGCCAAAGTCGAAGGCAAAGAGCAAGGCGAAAGCCAAGTCTGCCAAGTAAAGGCAAACTTCATGAAATGGGGTTTTGCAATTCTGAAATGATTTGCTTTGGATCGATCTCACAGCCCTTTCAAGCGTGTGGTTGCATTGGAGTCAACCCTGAACATGCTCACCTGGGCCTAGCGTGAATTCCATGAAAAAAAATCGTCCACGGGTAGTGCAACAAATCTTATCCATGCAGTGCAGCATGCCCAGAAAGACCCATCCCTGGCCTTCCCACTGTTTCTGTAGATCCCATTGCCATCGCATCAGCACCTTGGCCATGCCAGGTGTTGTTGGACCAATGGGAAAGCATGCAGCATCGTGCATTGCAAATGGTGCCGGGGACCCAAGAGGGAAAGGGTGAAAAAAAAACAAACTATATCAAACTATGAATTATATTTGGATACTTTGGACAAGCCACCATTCTGGAGATTTGGCCCAAAAGACAAACAAAAAATCAGAATAGTTTAGTCGTCAGCTCCCCATGGATACTCGAGCCCGTGTAGTTGAGAAAAGGGAAAGAATTCTGGCCTCATTGAAGGCTTCATTTGAAGCTTTGGGTGTTCACGACCCAGACTTGCCCTGGGGGTTTGTGGCAGGACCCAAACGGCCTTTTGAAAAGCATGCCTTTGAAGCAAGGCAAAGACTCCGTGATTTGGAGCAACTACAGGTTCTGGATACGGTCATTAGCAATTGGAAATTCATCAACTTGGAAGTGAACCGTGATGAAACCGATCAAAATGTGAGCTGTGGCAGCTGAGTGGGCTTTTTTCAATTGCCAATTCGTTATGGCTAGGCCATGCAGTATGGCTTGCGCTGTTGTGCAAATTTGCTTAAATGTGCACGCTGTTGTTCCCACGTGGTGCTCCCATTGCCCTACGTGATGCTGAAAATTACATGACATACGCTAGCGATCCCTGGCAAAGAAAAAGGTCAAAAGCTCCTGCTTCAAAGTTTTTTTTCTCACATGATCTCCTTCACCAGATCTCTTTCACATGAATCCTTTCACATGATCTCTTTCGCATGATCTTTTTCACATGACCTCTTTCGCATGATCTCTTTCACATGACCTTTTCAGATCTCTAGCTTATTGTACCCCCAACGATTGGATTTTGATCGCCCAGGCCACCGCCAAGTCTGTAGCTGAGATGAGCAAGGCCGCAGTCGATCATTATGGATCTACAAGTTGCCCAATCACTTCCCGTCTTGCAAGTGTGCAAACTAAGAGAGCAGAAGACGAATGCCATAAACTGTGACGTAGCTGAAGCTGACTCCATATGATCCCATATAAAAATTACGGCAATTATTCTTTTTAGGGATGCTTTGGGTTGCATTTCAACTTGCACTTTTTAACTTTGAACCCTGCCCCAACCAAGGTTTGAGAAGCACAACCTGGCGTTGAAGATTCCGGTTTCCTGGGTTGACTTGGATGGTGGTGATAGCTACCCTGTGCTCAGTATGCTTGACACCATTGACTACTTGGTTCAATCCAACAACTTGTCCAAGTTGTTTGGGGAACAACCCATGGAACAAGTGCAACCAATGTTGTTAGAGTTTTGGCGACGTTACAGCCTTGAATGGCCAGATTATGGAGTCTTTCGAGCTGCTGCTGAAAACAAGCTGTCGCTATCACGAACAATTCCAGTTTACATTCATGGTGATGAAGGTCGTGGATTCAAACGATCGGGTGTCATGATATTGAGCCTACAAGGGGCCATTGGTCGTGGCAGCAAACCTTTCCTCAAAAGACATCCAATTAGATCTCTTCGTCAACTCAAGATGGGTATCAACCTTCAAGGGAGCTCTTTCAACAGTCGAATGCTGTTTGTTGCAATGCCAAAGAAACATTACAAGGCGAAACCAGATTCTGGGACTATGATATTATTCATTTTCTATCCTCTTAGATTGCCTTTGGTTGTCCTTTCCTGTGACATTAATTTTAATCCCACTCAGCCCCCTATCCTTACTCAGGAGAATTTCCAGGCTGCACTCAACAAGATGATCAATGACCTCCTCAAACTTCAAGACATTGGGTTTACCTACGCAGGGGAAAGATGGAACATCGCTTGCTTAGGTGTGAAAGGGGATCTTCCGTTTTTGAGGACCGTTGGAGACCTGACGAGGCATTGGCAAAGGGCGCACAGGTCAGAGGAAAACAAATCTCCTCCTGGGGTTTGTTGGATGTGTTTGGCTGGCACAAAGCCAGGGGGGCCTTTTGAAGATTTCAACATAGATGCTCAATGGTCTGTGGTTGCTACAGTTGATCCTTGGGTTACACGACCTTCAGTGCTGCAATTGTTTCATTGTATCGATCGTCCCCATGACTATCTCAAGACTGATGTTTGGCACAACTACCATGGAGGAGCAGGTAAAACTTTCATAGCTTCAGTGCTGGCTGAATGTTTGCTTCTTTTGCCGGGGTCAAGGGAAGACAAAATTTCCCAGTTGGATGTTCTCCTACGTCAGTGGGCCAAACGGCCGGGTTGCAACCTTCCTCATTCAGGTCCATTTGTTGCGGAGAGAATTGGCCTTACAAGCTTCCAGGTCTTACCTGAAGGAGGTTGGTCAAAGTTTGCTGACACGCATATCTACCACAGGTTTGTGGAATGGTTCTTGACAGGGAGGATTAATCAATTCAATGAGGACGAGTATTTTTTGATGATTCTTGAAGCTGTCAAAGCGGCCAACGACACTTTTTCAATTCGTTACTCGTCTGGGTTGTGGCTGACGTCCAATGAAGCGCTTGCAGCTGGAAACAACGGAAGAAAGTGGTTACGTATCTATGCAAATCTTGCCTATAGGTGCTTCACTGAGCGAAAATCACGCTTCCCGATCTATGTTAAGTTTCACATGTTGGACCATCACTGGCGTCGTTTGGTATCTGGAGCCCAAAACAAATGGACACTGAACATCCTAGCGGAGTCAGTGCAGGCTGATGAGGAGTCTAGTTTGAATTTATTTGAATTTTGATATGTTGGTCGTTATGTGGTCCTATCCTAGTATGTGTCATCACTGTTGTATTTTCCGTTCCCTGGGGATGTCTCATTTCAGGACTTTGTGGGGAGATGCTGTCGCGTCAGCCGACGCATTTCCCCCAGGGCAATTGGATTGAGAGTACTTCAAAGGTATCTTGTGATGGCAAACAAAGCGTGGGTCAACAGCCCGAACCCTGACACGCAGCAGCCGACGAAGAGAAGCTTCGCCGAGATGACGGGCCCGCTTGAAGCTGATGGTCCAAAGCACAGAAAAAGGGGGAGTGAAGCAATTGTGTGTGATTATGGCTGAACCCCCAAATTGGGAAACACCCGTAAGCCGTAATGACCAAAAAAAATGGTTGAGGCCGTATGATCAAAAAAAAACATTCATTTGGGTTCCTAGGTATATATACATATGTAATATGTATATATATATATATATACCAATATATTTGGAATAATAAGGATTTAAGCAACAAGTGAGCAGTGTTCGAAACCCGAAAGCTTATTGAAGAATGGAATTCCCAGTTCATGGCCATGGTGGTCATCATGGTCAATCTCAAATGCCTCAAAGGCTGGATCGATATTGGAAGATACCCTAGGGTAAACATAGAAAAATACAAAAGGAAAACCAATGGGGAAATGATCTACAGATAGTGGGTTTTCCACATTCATCTACCCTCTGGTAAACTAACATGGCCATGGAAAACCACCATTTTTAATAGTTAGGTAAATCAGCTATAAATGGCAATTTTCAATAGCTATGTTAAATTACCAGAGGGTATGTCATTTTGTATGTTAGTTTTCAGGATGTTAAAATTCTTCCCTGTCCCCCAAGGACGCAAAATTCGGTGATGGGCTTGTAACCTCCCATGTCTTTCGCAGAATGCCCACACAGCCCAGCAGCAAGCTGCGATTAGGTGGGCCTTGTCTCAAATTTCTCATGGAGATTGACTCATCAAAACACTTACATTTTTTTTTCAAAAAAAAAAATAAAGTAGCACTTAGTCATGGGGATATCATAATCCTAGAAAATTGATGTGGACACAACTTTAGCGCTCTTGAATCCTTCAACATCTCAATGAGCGTTCGCCATTTCTGTGAAATCATCATCTGTTTCTCATAGATTCCAAGTGTTAAGAGCAGATCACTTCCAGGCCATGGTCCACGAGTCCAAATTTGAGACATCCGACCTTCTCATTGACCGATATGGGATCGATGAAGGCGAGTCTGGCCTGCAGAAGTGTTGGGGCCTTCCGACTGCGAAATTCGAACCCCGTTTGAGATTCAACATCAAAATGATTTTTGTTCAAGGGCAACAGCCCGAAAATCAAACATGAAATCCCAGAATAGAAGCGAATGTCGTCTTCCAAACCCTATATCTGTTGAGGGTTTCACATGGGTTTCATATACTTTCGTTTATGAACTTTACCATTTCAAACCTGTTGTATATGTTGAGGTCTGACTGGCCTGTGCAAAACTTCCAGGAATGAAACCCTAAAAATACGACCGAAAATGTGGCACATTTCCTGCATCTAAGGTACTTTTTCATGCACTGTTCTGGTAATACATGGCCAATCTTGGATACAAAAAAAAAATGGCTACTGTTGTGTATTCCTCCATCTATATTAACCAAAAAAACAAGCCATTGCTGACCCCCTGATAAACCTTCGGAGAGAGAATGAAGATGAAGTTGGGGGCAGCACTAAGATTTTTTTGGGATTTAACCACAAAAAATATGGGGATTTAACCAATCAAAATGTGGATATGAGCCACAAGAATTTGAGCAAAGAAAATCAGGAGTGCATAGGATTTTGACCAAACAGAAAGGGAATCACATGTAACCTGCGGTTTTTAATCGAATTTTCTAGGAATTGGTCTGATGCTCAGGCCAAAAAAAAATGTCAGTTCGCAATGGAAAATCACCATGTTCGCTTAATATGCCTATGGGTTGATATGCCAAGAAGTGTTTGCACAGGATTGCGCTAGGTATTTTTGGCCTGAAAGGGATTCACCTACCCTCCAGTAAACTAACGTAGCTATAGAGGATTTACCTGTTAAAATGGTGATTTTAGAGGATTTACCTGTCAAAATGGTGATTTTCCATAGCTATGTGAAATTACCAGAGGCTATGAGATTAATGTGGTTTTTCGCCAATAAGAACCCATCATCAACGAACCATGGGGGTCACTCATGATAGACATCGTCCCGTGTGATGGTTTATTATTGGGTTTACCAATTATATCCCCATTAAGTCTCTATATTGTTGGTTATCTCATTGTATCCCCATTATATCTCATTACTAGTGTCTACTATTGGTTTTATGGCATTGGGTTATTATCGCATTTGCCATGTGTTTTTTTCAGATTGTTTGAAGGTTTCCTAAAATAGGGGGTACCCCCAAATCATCCATTTTAGATTGGAATTTTCCACTATAAACCATCTATTTTGGGGTACCCCCACCCCCATATTGAGACCCTGGGTAAACTACAACATTTCACTAACGTGAATAGTTCGGCCATAAAAGGGGATGATTTCCCTAAAATAAACCCATGATTCCAGGGTTCGGGAGAACAGGGTTCGGTCGCAACATCATTTACCCAGAATGATCCCAGAATATATGCTTGGTTTAATCCCTACTCCCTATGAAAATCCCTATGATTCCCCATGAAAATCACCTATATTTGTATTGGTAATACCACCAATATACCAATATACCGTAGATCATCCCATGATACCATCACCTCGTCAATCGCCCAGATGGTATGCTGGACCCGCGTAGGGCGTAAAGCCTGCGGCGTCAGTCCAATTTCACGATGGTCTTCGTTGGTGATATATCGAACTAGTTTTCATGGAATATATTTTTTTATAGAGATTTATAGGGATTTATATGTCCAATCCATTTTCATAGGGTTTATAAACTCCACGTTTCTTTCAAGAAGTTTTTTGCGTATTTAAAATGTTGTTTCACCCTTTATCTGGAGGAATAGAGTACCACCAAGCTTGGGAGTCTGTGAGTAACGCGCAAAGCCTACCAGGAAACCATACCAGATAAAAGGGCACTTGGGGGTGTTATGAACTCTTTTAATTACCCTCTGGTAAACTAACATAACTATGGAAAATCACCATTTTCAATGGGTAAATCCACTATTTCTATGGCCATTTTCAATAGCTATTTTGACATAACCAGAGGGTAACGCTTAAACCTTCAAGAATTGTTTTTGTTGTATTGGGTTTACCACTAAAAACACTGACTTGGGTCCATACCCAGCCCAAAACCTAAACGATTTATAGACGTCGTTAGTGCCTATTCTCAGAATTCTCTATTTGAAGATTGACGATGTCAGGTTCCAGCCGATTGCTGATGTAGGTTGCTTTGCGGCTTAGAATTCGGCCGCAGTTCCTGAAGCTACGAAAAAATGGCCGCGGCTGGCTGATGGCTAAATGCCTCAAAGGTGAGAACAAGGGCGGTTTTTCACGGTCCAGTCAGACTTCATGGCCAGAGGTCAAACACAACGTTGAAATACCCTCTGGTAATGACTGGACTAACATAGCTAACTGAAGTTGATACCTGACAATTTTCATGTTGATTAATGGTGATTATTATGATTAATAGTGATATTATGATGATATATGGGAATATACCCTCTGGTAAACGTGTACATAGCTATTGAAAATGGCAGGAAAATGGCCCAGTCGAAATAGTTGATGACTACCCAGCTATATAGCGTGGTGAATCTTTCCAGTTCGTTTTTTGTAAACGTTGACCAGGCCGGGTAATTTTGCCAACGTTCCAAAAAGTTCAAAAACGGCTTCAGATCCGTATGGGCCCCTTCTGGTTGGTCGAGTTGCCTTGCACTTCCCATTCCCATGGTCCTGAACGTAGGACCCAGCCCCATATTCCATTTCAAGTTGATCTATATATAGATCTAGATCTATATCTAGATGTAGATCTACTATAAAATGTCCTGTTGCCATGGTTCATACCGCAGGGCATATCATTTTATCCCTTCCAACCCCAGAGCACATCTTCTCGCGGCACCTTGCATCTCTGAGGATGGGGCCTCCACAAACGAATCATGGTAGCAACACACCAACTGGGATGCACATTCAAATGGTATACAACCTGGTAAGCCAGAAATCCTAGTGGAAAATACTGGGAAACGTCATTTCAGGATCCCCTGAAACCCCTCGTTTTTGGAGTTTTTTTGTTCTTCTTTCCTTCTGGTGTTTTAACATGGTTTGCTGGACAATCACACATTTACTTCGATGATAATCCAAAAATTTCCATTTGGATCCATGTGGTTCCTTGGGATTTTCGATTGCTATGTTGGTCATTAGCGGCAAATCAAAGAAGTTCGCTTGAGTCTTGGTGGCCCAAGTGGTGGAACATGAATTGGAACCAGGCCTAATGACCAGTTACCACTTACAAACTTGGGATGCTTACATAATCACAGCTACTACTGAATCAGTGCCCCAGCCATCCAAATATGGAATACATATACATACACACATACATGCATGCATACATACATACATACATCCATACATACATACAACCATACCATACCATACCATACCATGCCATGCCATACCATACCATACCATACCATACCATACCAACCATACCATACCATACCATAACATACCATACCATACCATACCATACATACCATACATACCATACATACCATACATACCAAAATACCAACATACATACATACATACATACCTACCTACCTACCTACCTACCTACCTACCTACCTACCTTTACATACATACATACCATACAATACAATACAATACAATACAATACAATACATTACATACATTACATACATTACATACATTACATACATTACATACATTACATACATTACATTACAATACAATACAATACAATACAATACAATACAATACAATACAATACAATACATACAATACATACATTACATACATTACATACATTACATACATTACATACATTACATACATTACATACATTACATACATTACATACATTACATACATTACATGACATTACATACATTACATGACATTACATACATTACATACATTACATACATTACATACATTACATACATTACATACATTACATACATTACATACATTGCATACATTACATACATACATACATACATTACATACATACATACATACATACATATATATATATATATGTGCCTCAGCAAAACCATTCAAAATCAGCTTAAAGTAAGTAAACTACACGAGCTAATCTGGATGGTAAGGCTTGGAAAAAGAACATTTTTCTGCCGTGTCAAACTTCGAACCCCATTGCGTCCAATGGTCAAATATCATCTTCCTCATCACATAATGGCATTTTGAGACAAAGCATTGTAAGGAAAACGAGGGTTCATCCCAAAAAAATACGATGTCACCCTCCAAAGTTGGAAACAAACGGGTATATACCCGCAAATCCAGAGGTTCATAATGTACCACTCGAAATTGCTATGAATTGACTATCGTGTGCTTGGGAAACTTGGCTCCCCATTGTGCTCCATAAAATATCCCTTGCAACGGTCAAATCCACTCAAATTGCCATAAACCCATCGTTAGAAAAAAAAATGTTCCACCCAAATCCACTGGTTGATCTTCATGTTTCCCATTCAAAAAAATAAACAACATACCCGGCCTGGTAAACGTTTACAAAAAACGAACTGGAAGGATTCACCATGCTATATAGCTGGGTAATCATCAACTATTTCGACTGGGCCATTTTCAATAGCTATGTAAACGTTTACCAGGGGGTATATCCCCATATATCATCATAATATCACTATTAATCATAATAACCACCATTAATCAACATGAATTGTCAGGTATCAACCAGTTAGCTATGTACCGTACCAGAGGCTAGTAGTGAGGGTCTACCAACCTCCCATGAAAATTGCTCAGAACCGCCCAGGACCTGTCGGACCCGATGTGCTGGTAGCTCCACATTCAGCAAAGCCGAGGTCCATAGCGCCTGTTGAAAAAAACGCGCCGTTTCGTCGAATCGAAAACGGTTTCTGTTGGGTGGAAAAAACCCTCTGGTAATGACTGGACTAACATAGCTAACTGAAGTTGATACAATTCATGTTGATTAATGGTGATTATTATGATCAATAGTGATATTGTGATGATATATGGGGATATACCCTCTGGTAATTTAACAGTTTGCTAGTCAAAATGGCCATGGAAATAGTGGATTTACCCATGAATAGCATGGTGATCTTCCACAGCTATGTTAATTTACCAGAGGGTAATTATGACTGGCAAAAAAACACTAATCCACTAAGACACTAATCCACTAATTGTGATTGGCGAAATCCTCATTGAATTTTAAAATGCCATTGTTGCACCCATTCTTGGTCACTGGAGTTACCCTCTGGTAAACTAACATAACTATGGAAAATCACCATTTATAGTGGATTTTCCCATTAAAAATGGTGATTTTCCATAGTTATGTTAGTTTACCAGAGGGTACTAGCCAGTTTCGATCGGACGACCAAGTACCACAAGGTGTGACCGAAAAAGTCATAGCCAAATTTTCAGGTACGAAAGCCAATATTGTTACTGAGTTACCTGAAATTCGTACCTGAAAATTGGTTTGGTTATGACTTAGTAATATCCCTTACCTCTTGTAACCAAATGTCGCACTGGAGAATCGATTATAAATGGAGGTGAAACTAGCTGGGAAAATCGAACATTTGGATGATTTTCCAGCAATCCATGTTTGATTACCAGAGGGTATGCCATGATTATTGTCCCAATATATGATTGATATACCAATATTATCGGATTAACATGCAATTGATTATCCCATTATTATTGTCCCAATCACAATATTGGAAAAATATATGATTATCAATAATGGAATAATATATTGTGAATATGAAATTCACAACAGTAAAATACTGGGATTTACTGGGATTGATTCTTATATTGATTTTTATATTGATTCTTATGTTATATATATATATACACGTGCATATACATATAGATATATATATATATTTACATTATATATACATATATGGTCCCATGATTCTCCCACAGCTCCATCATGCTCCATCCTTTCCCGGTTCCCTTCCTGGCGCATGGATTTGGCCATTCTCCACGCCACTCTGGCGCAGAGCAGCTGTAGGACCTCGGACGGCTCGAGGTTAGCCTTCTGGGAATCCAATGGCCGGCTGGAAAGTCCCTGGATATTTGGAGGTTTTGATGGGAAAATCCTTTAAAAAAATCCGAAAATCCCTGGATATTTGGAGGTTTTGATGGGAAAATCGTTAATGGGGCTTTCCAATTGCTATGACTGGAGAGTGATAGCATTAAAAACCCTAGACCTTGGATCAACAAACAATAGCAAAGATTTGACTGTAGCTGTTGGACTTCGGTTGTCTCTTCTTCAGGTCATGTTATTGTCCTAATCCCCCCGGGAAATCAGTGGCTAGACGAAAATATATTATATACCAAGTTTCCGAGAAATATATGATATATTTTTGTTTGTATCTCATTGTCATTGCTAGTGAAGGAATATCATCATCATTGTTATCATCATCATCATCATCACCACCACCACCATCATCGTCATCATCCCAATAAAGCATCATTGCAAGCATCTTTGATCATAATAATTGTCATCATGACTCATGACTATTAATATTATCATAATCATAATCATAGTCATTAATAAATGGTGATTACCAGTAGTACCGCACAAGGCGGTGGCGGAAGTTTCAAAAATAGGAAACCTATAGGAGAGGTTGGTTGTTGTGAATCACGGATGGCAGAGCGAAGCCACTGATGGACCGAAGGTGGTTGAGGTCTCTTCTCTTTCTCTCTCTTTCTGTCTCTTTCTCTGACCATCTACCTACCTACCCACCAATCTATCTATGCATCCATCTATCTCTCTCTCTCTGTCGTGTAGTGCAGTGTGGTGTAAATAGTGTAGTGCAGTGTAGTCTTATATAGCTGTAGTTGTAGTTAGTGTGACGTAGTGCAACGTAGTGTAGCGTAGTGTAGTGTAATGTCATTAGTGTAGTGTAATGTAATGTAGTGCAGCTGCAGTTGCAGTTGCAGTTGTAGGTGTAGTGCAGTGTTGTTCAGTGTAGTGTAGTGGAGTGCAGTGTAGTGTAGTGTAATTAGTGTAGTGTAGTGTAGCGTAGTGTAAATGTAGTATTGTTGCAGTTGCAGTTGTAGCTGTAGGTGTAGTGCAGTGTTATTCAGCGTAGTGTGGTGGAGTGTAGCGCAGTGTAGTGTAATTACTGTAGTGTAGTGTAGCGTAGTGTAAATGTAGTATTGTTGTAGTTGCAGTTGCAGTTGTAGCTGTAGGTGTAGTGCAGTGTTATTCAGCGTAGTGTGGTGGAGTGTAGCGCAGTGTAGTGTAATTAGTGTAGTGTAGTGCAGCGTAGTGTAAATGTAGTATTGTTGTAGTTGTAGTTGTAGTTGTAGTTGTAGTTGTAGTTAGTGTAGTGTAGTGTAGTGGAATGTAGTGTAGTGTAGTGTAATGTAGTGTAGTGCAATTGAGTGTAGTGTAGTGGAGTGTAATGGAATGTAGTGTAGTGTAGTGTAGTGTAATGTAGTGTAGTGTAGCTGTAGTGTAGTTGTAGTGTAGCGTAGTGGAGTGTAGTGTAGTGCAATGTAGCGTAGTGGAATGTAGTGTAGTGTAGTGTAATGTATTGTAATGTAGCGCAGTGGAATGTAGTGTAGTGTAGTGTAGTGCAGTGTAGCAAAGTGTAGTGTAGTGTAGTGTACCTGAGAGTAATTGAATGTAATTGAATAGTGTAGTGGAGTCTAGTGGAGCGTAATATAGTGTAATGTAGTGAACGTGTAGTTGTAGTTGTAGTGTAGTGTATTTGAGTGTAGTGTGGTGTAGTGGTGGTTGTAGTTGAAAATGCTACAAAACCCTCATGTTTTGCTCACTCTTGACAAGATCCACAATCCCTTGCACCTGCCACGCGGAACGACATCTCAACGTCCAAAAGTGGTCCGAACCCCTGGTGTTTTTAACATTTTGACTTCGAAATGTGCTTCGCGATTCGCGCCACAACGGCGTGCGCTTTTTCGACATCTCAACTTCCAAAAGTCGTCGGATACTGAAGTGTTTTGCACATTTTGACTTCGAAATGTACTTCGCACCACAACGGCGTGCACTTTTTCCACATCTCAGCTTCCAAAAGTGGTCCGAACCCCTGGTGTTTTTAACATTTTGACTTCGAAATGTGCTTCGCGATTCGCGCCACAACGGCGTGCACTTTTTCGACATCTCAACTTCCAAAAGTCGTCGGATACTGAAGTGTTTTGCACATTTTGACTTCGAAATGTACTTCGCGCCACAACGGCGTGCACTTTTTCCACATCTCAGCTTCCAAAAGTGGTCCGAACCCCTGGTGTTTTTAGCATTTTGACTTGGAAATGTGCTTCGCGCCACAACGGCCTGCACTTTTTCGACATCTCAACTGCCAAAAGTGGTCCGGACCTGAGTGTTTTGTGCATTTTGACTTCGAAATGTGCTTCGCGCCACACAGCGTGCACTTTTTCGACATCTCAACGTCCAAAAGTGGTCCGAACCCCTGGTGTTTTTAACATTTTGACTTCGAAATGTGCTTCGCGATTCGCGCCACAACGGCGTGCACTTTTTCGACATCTCAACTTCCAAAAGTCGTCGGATACTGAAGTGTTTTGCACATTTTGACTTCGAAATGTACTTCGCGCCACAACGGCGTGCACTTTTTCCACATCTCAGCTTCCAAAAGTGGTCCGAGGCTGAGGTGTTTTGTACATTTTGACTTGGAAACGCGCTTCGCGCCACAACGGCGTGCACTTTTTTTCATCTCTCATCTGCCCAGCTGGCTCCGCACCCTCCACTTTAGCGGGCCTACTTTTCGACCCTCCGGAGCCTCAAATCATTGGAAAAACACTGTTTCGTACCTTTTCGCGCATCTGCATCTTCTTTCTTCTGACTCTTTCTCTTCTCTGATCTTCTCTCTTCTAATCTTTCTCTTCTCTCTGCCTCTGCCCTGCTCTGCTTCTCATCTGTCCATATTGTCGGAAGTTGGACTTCTAAACTTCCTTCGAATAATAATAATCATATTACCAGTAGTACCGCACAAGGCGGTAGCGGAAGTTTCAAAAATAGGAAACCTATAGGAGAGGTTGGTTGTTGTGAGTCACGGATGACAGAGCCAAGCCACTGATGGACCGACAGGTGGTTGAGGTCTCCTCTCTTTCTCTCTCTTTCTTTCTTTCTCTTTCTCTGACTATCTACCTACCTACTTACCTATCTATCTATGTATGTATCTATCTATCTACCTATCTACCTATCTACCTATCTACCTATCTACCTATCTACCTATCTACCTATCTACCTATCTACCTATCTACCTATCTACCTATCTACCTATCTATCTATCTATCTACCTATCTATCTATCTATCTCTCTCTCTCTCTGTCTGTCTATCTATCTATCTCTCTGTCTGTCTGTCTATCTATCTGTCTATCTGCAAGATTGAAAACGAAGCTATTCTGCGAGATGTCCTCAGGTTTTGGAACTTGACAACATCAAAAACGCAGCAATTCTGCGAGTCCTCAATGTTTGAACTTGACAACGTCAAAAAGGAAACAATTCTGCGAGACTTCCTCATTTTTCAAAGTTGACAACATCAAAAACGAAGCAATTCTGCGAGACTTCCTTCAAAAATGGAAAGTTGCGTGCAGAGCTGACGGCCTCGTACTACCAATGCGTTTTGCGATTTTTCCAGTCCATTTGTCTAAACCACTTCGCCTGCCACGAAAAAGTGATGCCAGGTCATACGAAGTGCTGCACCTGTCACGCAAAATCAGATCTGATGCTCCAAAATGCAATCCATCTCAGGAAATCAGCGCCCGGACCTCCTAACAGCTCTGAGCCTGCCACGGAACATGCATCTGTAGAGATCCTCTTCAAATGTCCCACACCTGCCATCGTTTTTGGAAATGCTACAAAACCCTCACGTTTTCCTCATTTTTGACAAGGTGCGCAATCCCTTGCGCCCGCCACGCGAAACGACATCTGAACCTCCAAAAGTGGTCCGAACCCCTGGTGTTTTTAACATTTTGACTCGAAATGTGCTTCGCGATTCGCGCCACAACGGCGTGCACTTTTTCGACATCGCAACTTCCAAAAGTGGTCCGACCATGGTGTGTTTTGTGCATTTTGATTTCGAAATGTGCTTCGCGCCACACAGCGTGCACTTTTTCGACATCTCAGCTTCCAAAAGTGGTCCGGACCTGGTGTGCTTTGTACATTTTGACTTCGAAATGTGCTGCGCGCCGCAACGGCGTGCACTTTTTCGACATCTCAACTGCCAAAAGTGGTCCGGACCTGGAGTGTTTTGTGCATTTTGACTTCGAAATGTGCTTCCCGCCACAACGGCGTGCAATTTTTCATCTCTCATCTGCCCAGCTGGCTCCGCACCCGCCGCTTTAGCGAGCCTACTTTTCGACCCTCCGGAGCCACAAATCATTGAAAAACACTGTGGTTCGTGACTTTCCTACCTTTTCGCGCACCTGGATCTTCTTTCTTCTGAGACTTTCTCATGTCTGATCTTCTCTCTTCTTCTCTTCTCTTCTCTTCTCGTCTCTTCTCTTCTCTTCTCTTCTCTATTCTTCTGCTCCACCTCTGCTTTTCATCTGTCCATATTGTCGGAAGTTTGACTTCTAAATTTCCTTCGATAATCTATCATCATAGTAATATTCATAATAAATGGTTGTTTTCTTCTTCGCTATGATTAAAACAAACCATCCATTTGGGGAATTGATCATCTCACTCCCCCCTAGCTGCACTATGTTTCTCCTATATTTGTTGGTTCAATTACCCAAGTTAGATGCTTAAATCCATCGTTATTCATGATTTGTTTTGTCACAAGAGTCTATTTGTTTCCCATCTTTACCCATAAATAACCCATAAATATTCCATGTGAAATCCACTGTCTATTTGTTGCCCATCTTCATAAATGTGTTCGCTAAATCTTTCCCCCATCAAATTCCGCACTTCGAATCGCGTCCAGCACGGCCCCAAAGTCCAAGTGGCAACGCTGCTGCAAACAGCCATGTGGCCCACCAACGTCGAGGCGCTACACCTGGATTTCTAGGTGATATATGGATATGCTATGATATTACATCTGTTATACATATATATATATGTATGGCTTTGCTTGGCAATATTGGGCATATCTTAGGATAATAATGGTATAATAACGGGATACAACTCTACATTAAAATGATACGTGTGGTATGTTTGTCTGAAAATGTGGTACCCCTACACGAAACTCGTGTAGTATGATCCGTACCCAAAACGGATCGGACCAAATGGCCTTGGTAAATAAAACTTAGTAATGTCATAGGGGATATCTCGGGAGAATGTTCGGATAATATTAGGAACTAACCAAACAAGAAATACTGGGTTTGGTAACCGAACATGTTGGAGAAACACATGAAATCCTCTTGCTATCATCATTTTCTTCATTTAGATAGCCATTTCGGGCGATAGCCCATTTTCAAACACCACCTGGACCAGGGAGTGGCCGAAATCCTCTCCAACTCAAACTCTTAGAAGAGTCCAAGGAGAAATGGTTCCAAAAAATTATGAATTCTCCATAGGTAAGGTAAAAAAAAATCACGTTGAGCAAACCCAGGTTACGTTGTGGTATGATGGTCAAAACATGGCTGTAAAAGCTACCATGACTTTATACTCACCTGTCCATGTCATATATATATATATATATACATATACTGAATATGTGGTCTAATCAGGTTCCCATGTTATAAATCATGGGGATAGTCAATTTACAACGGTATGATCATTTTGGTAATGATTGACATCATACTGGCTAAAATGGATTCTTAGTATCAGTATAGTTTATTTATGATGGTATATATATATATATATCTCATGGGACAATGCCAAAAATCATGCCAATATCATGGTGAAATTAAGGACACCATCATGGATCAGAATAAATTACCAACATGTTGGATACCCATAGTTTCCCAATCCCGTCCCCTATCATATTCATGAATAGATCCAATACCTGCAGCTTTCAGGATTTGTCAAAAGCACTTGTATTGTGCAATTCCATTTGGCAGAAAATCATTGGTATCCCAACTGTTCTGGGGTATTATCATGGTCATTGCAATGAATATACAGTTATCACAACTCCACCAGCTACTAAGTAGGGTGAGTCTATCTTTGCTCCGTTCTCTTGATTTCTCTGCATTTTTTGAAGTTGGATGACCCAAGTCCCCTCAAAGTCCGCCCTGCAGAAGCTACCAAAGGCCCCACTTGGGGTTGACTCGCAAAGCCATCAATTCCAACCCCACCAACCTTGGTCTCGACGCCCTTGAGACCCCCGACAGGTTCACATAGTGTGATTCCGTGGGATGCTCGGGATCTGCAACTTTACACTCCTGGCGCTGCCAGGGAAGGTTGTCACAGATTTCTGTAGTTTTTTGACCCTCATAAAATATGCAAGTTCAACGGGGGAACATCATGATGAAACAAAGGATTTTCATGGATTTGGGGGTTCCAGATTTGAGACAACCCCACATCTGCTGTGTTTGGTGACCTTGTGCTTGGCTTGATAACCATAAGAATCAGGGACTTCCCAGCCAGGACCATCACCCCGCTTGCAGATGATGTTCTGCAAGGGCGAAGTCACTATCCCATTTGGACTCTGCACCATTTCGGGCGATTCATCACCACTTTATGGCTGAAAATCTCTTCAACCGTTTGATTCAATCCCCAAAAGTATCGAAATTGAAGTTTGACATCCCCTAGATGCAGTTTCAAACTCCATGTTTTTCTGATTCACCCCAGTCTTTTGCTAGCTGGATTGTTTTATGTGGAGGTTTCCAATCCATGGGGTTACCCATATTTTCATCATCCATTATATATGGTCCATATGTATATATATATATATATATACAATATATATATATATATATACAATATATATATATATATACAATATATATATATACAATATATATATATATATACAATATATATATATACAATATATATGTCCATGAAAAAAATGTTTATTCTCATGAAAGAAACCATCCAGCTATTGCAGTACCCCCATGATTATGGAAGTTTCCCCCTGTTTTTCACGGTGAACTCCGCCCTTTTCGCTGCGCACCAGCTTGAAGAAGTTTCCAGGTCCCGGGGGTTTCGACAAAAGGCCGAGGAGCATCACCACCTGCTGGTTTTGAATGGAAAAAATCATGGGATTTCCATGGAATCCTACAAATTAATGGTTTTTAATGGGATATCCCATATTTTTGATGTGAGTATATATGCGTATATATATATATATATGTGTATATATATATATAGTACCCCCCCCCAAAAAAAAAAAAACGATGTTTTTGAGGTCGCAGCGCTTTTGGGACAAATTACCCTGTTCAGTTTGAGTTCCAGTTGGGGGTACCATATATATATGTATATATATATATGTATATCTATATATATATGTATACATATGTCTGTATGAATTGTTGTCTTACTGTTGAACCCAGGTACTTAGAGCAATTTTGTCACCAGAAGCGCTTGCAAACGTTTGCAAACGAGTCCAGGGGCCCAAGTACTTAGACTGGCTCAGGATTCAAGATTCAAGGTATTTTAGAGACATAGTGGCATTTTCAAGGCCAATTAAATGGTATATGAAAGGTCCATACCTTCAAGGTATGCTAAAGGTATAGTAAACGACATTCTTAATAGTATTGACTTATGGTCTATCAAATGGAATATTAACGGTTCTTAAATGGTAAGCTAAGTATAGATGGTACATTAAAGGTTTATTAAAGGCAAATTAAATGGAAAATAAAAGGTATGCTAGAGGTAGAGAGGTATCCTAGAGGTGTATTAAAGATGTTTTCATGGCCAATAAAATGGTATATCTAATGTAGATTAAATGGTATAGTGAAGTTTTATGCATTGAAGGTATATTCAAAGTATACTAAAGGCATTTTCAAGGCCAATTAAATTGTATATTAAAGGTAGTTTCATCGTTACACAATGGAATGCTACAGGTATATGGATTGGTCTGTCAAAGTTTTTTAAAGATGGATTTAACAGGGGATATTGAAGGTATGCCAAAGGTTTACTAAAGGTTTATTAAAGATATGTTTATGGTCAATTCACTGGTATATGAAAGTATATGGAATCTATAATGAAGCTAAATTCATTGTAGATTTAAAATTGCTGATCAAGATATTATTCTTACTCTGTTGCATCAAAAACATAGACATATCCAAAATGTTAGAATCTGGTGTTTTGAAAGAAATACTGTATGACTGATGGAAAGCTTAATACTAGTTTGAAAGGAAGACTGCACTTCTTCAGAAAAAAAAACACTGCATGTTTAGAGGAATGCTCTATACTTTGTAGGAGTACTGTTTCTTGAACGAAGTCATACTTTGTCTGGAAGGAAAATTGCAGTTTATGAATGAAGTTGCCTTTTTTCAAGCATGGAAAGGAACGCTGCAATTTAAAACAGATTGTTTCCTTCAAGAAATGTTGTGCTTTCTGACCTGAGTATGTGCTCATTTTTTGAAAGTAATGGTGTGCCTACTTTGAGTTTGCAAAAGGTTCCCAACAAATGCTACCTCTTTGACATCAACAAAAAGCTGAAAATGGTAGATCTTTGTGGGGGGGGTACCCTGTGCCATTAACGGTTGGCGTCGATTTTGCGGCACCACTTCTTGTGCATGTAGGCAGGGTGGAATGGGTTAAGGTGTCTCGATACATGTAGCTGTAACCTGCAACTCTCTTTATACTGGCAATACTGCATAGGATTTATCTCCGGCGCCAAGCGCCACTTTCAGCGCATGGGTGCTTTGCATTGTGGCGCGCCTGGTCCATCGGCCTGACCATCGGCCTGTCCATCGGCTCCATCGGCTCCATCGGCCTCATCGGCTCGGCTCCATCAGCCTCATCGGCTCCAGCGGCTCGAGGGGCCTCATCGGCTCCATCGGCCTCATCGGCCTCATCGGCTCCAGCCGCTCCATCGGCCTCATCGGCTCCATCGGCTCCAGCGGCTCCATCGGCCTCATCGGCTCCATCGGCTTCATCGGCCTCATCGGCTCAAGCGGCCTCGTCGGCTCCATCGGCCTCATCGGCCTCATCGGCCGCATCGGCGCCAGCGGCTCCAGCAGCCTCATCGGCTCCATCGGCCTCATCGGCCTCATCGGCTCCATCGGCCTCATCGGCCTCATCGGCTCCATGCAGCGGCTCCATCGGCCTCATCAGCTCCAGCGGCTCCATCGGCCTCATCGGCTCCATCGGCCCCATCGATTCCACCGGCCTCATCGGCTCCAGCGGCTCCATCGGCCTCATCGTCTCCAGCGGCTTGAGCGGCCTCATCGGCTCCATCAACCTCATCGGCCTCATCGGCTCCAGCGGCTCCAGCGGCTCCATCGGCCTCATCGGCCTCATCGGCCTCATCGGCCTCATCGGCCTCAGCGGCTCCATCGGCCTCATCGGCTCCATCGGCCTCATCGGCCTCATCGGCTCCATCGGCCTCATCGGCCTCATCGGCTTCATCGGCTCCATCGCCCTCATCGGCTCCATCGGCCTCATCGGTTCCAGCGGCTCCGTCGGCTCCAGCGGCCTCATCGGCTCCATCGGCTTCGTCGGCCTCATCGGCCTCATCGGCCTCATCGGCCTCATCGGCTCCAGCGGCTCCATCGGCCTCATCGGCTCCAGCGGCTCCATCGGCTCCAGCGGCTCCATCGGCTTCATCGGCCTCATCGGCTCAAGCGGCCTCGTCGGCTCCATCGGCCTCATCGGCCTCATCGGCCTCATCGGCCTCGTCGGCCTCATCGGCCTCATCGGCTCCATCGGCCTCATCGGCTCCAGCGGCTCCATCGGCCTCATCGGCTCCATCGGCCTCAGCGGCTCCAGCGGCCTCATCGGCTCAATTGGCCTGATAGGCGCCAGCGGTTCCAGCGGCTTCATCGGCATGTCTTTCTGGAAAGCCTATTACGGCCCGAAGCAGGCGGAATCAGTTGTGTCCATTTTGCGCCTATTGTTTGCTTTGCTGCCTTTTGATTAGTATTGGTCCATAGGCTCTTGGCTTGCGATATAGCCTCCAAGTGTCGAACGTACGGGGATACCCCCCCCAAAGATCTACCATTTTTGACCTACCTTTTTGAAATCTTGTGGTTTGGGATGATACTGCCCGCAATCCCTTCAAATCCTTGCAGCCCTACAACACCCATTGCCAACTCTCAAAAAGGTCGGTTTTGGGCGGGCTAGCATATATATATATATATATTTATATTATTAATATTATTATTGTTATTATTATTACTATTATTATTATCATTATTATTATTATATTATATTATATTATATTATTATTATCATTATCATTATTATTATCATTATTACTATTATTATTACTATTATTATTATTAATATTATTATCATTGTTATTATTATTATCATTATTATATATATATATAACGGGATATACATGCAACTTGATATGCTTGTTTAGTGAACCTGTATGGTGATATAATGGAGATGTAGTGGGATACTAGTGACTGCATGGGAATTTAACCATCCTTCATAGGGGTACTGTTTTAACCATCAGTCTAAAGTCATATTTTGTTTCTTTGCTGTCCATGCACGGAAGCATCTTCTTCGGGTTTTAGTGTGTAATAAGCCTAGCCCTTTGCCTGATGTTTTAGGCCGAAAATGGCCTAAATGTTTGGAAAAGGTCCCTTGTAGTGTGGTGACAAGTTCGAAACCCGAAAAGGGTTTGGGGGGTGCCATTAAAAAATCCCAACAAACGTAAAAGCTTCTGGTCGTCCAGTTCATACTGAAAATATCCACCCAATCTGTGTATTCGCTGGCAAATGGATGTTCATCACCCCAAAATATGGAAAAAACATCGGTGTTTGACTCATCTCCATATCGATTCAAGCCGTTCTCCTGACGTCATTCTGGTGATCTCAAATGTGGACCCCTGACAGTCCAGCCTGCCAAACGAGGTTCAGGGAAGACAACATGGACACGGGCACCAAGTTCCGCCTTGGTGTCTGCAAGTCAGACCAGCACCGCCAGCACCTGACATTGATCCCGTATCACATATGTTTTCCAGAATCACTAGATCCAACACGTGGAGATTAGGTCCTTTACCCTACTTTTCTACCAGATCTTGGGGGTCATCTTCCGCAAAACACCGCAACTTTCCCATGGACAGCGGTCCCGAAGTTCCCTTTGCAGACTAATGGGCTTCCGGACACCAGCTGTCCCACATCCTGTTTTAGCAATATGCTGGCGGGCAGCAGTGTGGCCTGGGCAGACAGTGATGACCTGAATCCATGGTATAAGTTAAGGCTTTTGAAAAAATGGTAAGCTGGGGAAATCAATGGTAGAACCTCTTGGAGTAGGCTAGAAAATGTCCTGCGCCGGCAGCTTTGACAACAGCTTGGGCTAGTCCTAAAATTGGATATTGGATACCCAAAAATTGCGATTTCAACAAGGAAAATGATACATAATCTGAAAGATCACACTTTGTGGGCTCACCAATGGCAAATTGCGTAAATTAGTGGGAACTTGGTTAAATTTTGGTAATTAAGTTGAGTAGAAAAAAAACTTGCACATATTGATGAAAATTGAAATTTTGATGGTAAATTTGGGGCTAATGTGGGTAAAACAACGCCATAAACCACCCATTTGGGAATTGTTTATACAACCTATAAAAATTGGTGATGACTAGGGGATGGTTTATGGCATTGTTTTACCCACACTAAACAAAAAAACATGTTATGGGGATATCTTCGGGAATCGCCGAGCCACATCGCACTAAGTCCCAGACCAGGTCGATCAATGCTGCACTGTACATTCCACACAGGACTTCCTACGCATCGAAAATTGGAGGCCTGAATTCTATGGTTTATGGTAGATAATTATAACTATAGATAACGAACTATTTTTCATGGTTTATAAACCAACGTTCACAGCACTGGGGGACACCATCCTGTTCCAAAAGCCATCATTTTAAGTGTCTCATCTTTATGGATTCTGATACCCCCGGAAAAAAGTGTGGAAACAACGCAACTTCTATGGTGGAAAATTGCCATGTTGAGGGGATAAACCAATTATAAAGTGCTAAACCAACCAAAAAAACATGATAATCCCGTAAACGTGCCATAAACCAACTTGTGAAGTATCTATAAGTGATGAAAAGTGAGGGAAAGTGGTGATAAACCATGGGATTTTGCGGAAACTAAACCCTTAAATTTAAGGGCAACTCCCGTCTTCTGAACTCCTAGTGGAATTTTCCTGGCTGGCCAGGTCTGGTATTGAATGAATCATAGTTATTTCTATATATTTCTATATATTTCTGAGAATCATATCTCCATCCATTGGCGCGCATTTTTTTAAATCCCTCTCAATCTCTTGATGTTCATATTTCATTGATGGATGAGTGGGTACCAAATGTTCATGATAAAAGAAACATGTCATTTCATTGTCTAAGTTTTGTCATTCCACTACAAGTTTGGACACTGACCAACCAGGGAAAAATTCCAATGGTGGGCCACAGCACTTTGAAGTCATGGAAACTGGACCCAGCTGTGGTGCCAAGGATTTTGCGAACATCTCAGTGCACGAACTGTGTTGGTGCAAATTTTCACAGTAATCTTGGGGGGCAACCCCCTGAATGACCAATAGATTCAATAGATTCTATTCATCCGAAGTTCACTATCGCTATCCAAACACATCGAAAAAAAAAAAACCTAACTTTCAGCCACTCATGATTTGGCTATCTACATAATCTACCTGTCTCCCGTGTCTTCCAGACCCAGGCCCCAGTCCACTGCAAAGATTACAGCAAGGCCATAAACCACCAACTTGAAATACCTCAAAACCACAGGATGTGCTCGAAATTCACGGGTGAGGGCGACTGAAATGCAAAAGTCAATTGTGGTTTCATTACGGCATTAAAGATATTGAAACAATCAGGTACCACGGTAAACCATCATGAAACCAGAATGTTTTTTGATCCACCGTTTTAAAGAATTATCTCATAACCCCAAAAATACGCACAAAATCTGGTGTCGTGATAGTTTTAATTAATGTCACAGAAAAATATCGATTGATGGCATTGTGAAAACTGTAAAACAAACTGTTCTACTGTTCTATTTAATTACTCATGACGGCATTGTGGCACCAAAAAAAATGGGAAGAGTTTTGTGGTTTTTTTCGATATTTTGACTCGTTCACTTTGCAGCAACACTTTGAAAACAACAGACGGTGGAAATTCAAAAGAATAGATGATGTTCATCTTCCAACAAAATTTCAGTAGAGCAAGGGCGATATCCGCTTGCCAGGTTTACCGAAGGGAAAATGTGAAAACCACCAAGTTTCAACAAACAGAAATATGGCACCTGAAAACGCCAGGCAGGTTGCCAGGATTTCCGTATTGATGGGACCACGTGGGACGACTCCAAAAAAATTCATCGTGAACCAGGAACGTCATCCCAGGCTTGAAAAAACGAACTGTTTGAAACCACCAAGTCATAGATTGGTATTGAAATTGTATAGTTTCTGTACAGTATTGGTATGGATTAAACCCCCCACACGCCAAGGGCGCGGTCGCAGTTGCAGCAATTCTTCGCTCGGAGCCTGGGATTGTTGATTTTGTTGACACGGATCTGTGGGTCAAAATGGCACACCAACATAATCATAATATAATACTCATCAATCATGTACAATTTTGAGGATTGCATCATGAAAGGTGATCCCGTTTTCGAAGTCCCAAATTTGCACCCATTGCCAAGACTACCATGTCACCAAAAGATTGAAAATTGATCCATTTTGCCAACATCTCATCCGACGAATGTTTCACGCGAATGCAAGAGTAAATTTGGGCAAATGCCCGTTTTCCAATCAAATGTATTGTCACAAAAATGTCAATGATCGAAACCGCACAGATAGCAAATTTGAAAGTTTCCTAAAATGGGGGTACCCCAAAATCATCTGTTTTAATGGGATGTTCAATTATAAACCATCCATTTTGGGGTATAGTACCCCCATTGCTGAAAACCCCAAATGTTGGTTTCTGGTTTGAATGTTTGATAAAAATTGTTTAAGTTGCGCGCGACGTCGTCCGGAAATTCCATACCAGGGTGGACCATTGCTAATGCAAAGAAGGCCAAACAACACGCAAATGATTTTTGTGCAACATGTTTTTTGGCAAAGTTGTTTGCAACAACCAAAAACAACAAACAACTGGCCAAACATTAACGGAAAGTCTGGGCTGATGCTTGTGAAGCAATTGCAAAAATTCATTTTCTGGTGAACACAGTCCCATGCAATTAAGGGTTTTGATAAACCGTTGGTCGGTTTCTGCTTCATCAGAACCATGTCACGCAGCGGTGATCATCCAGTTTATGTTCGTACCACACCATTGTGGTAATTTATGTCCTGGGCGAAATTTGAAAAAATGCAAACCTGTTTGGAGATTCGTGATGGTTTCAATTTCTGCTGGTTTTTGCGGGTTTTCGGCTGGTGACAATGTGATCAATGACCCCTTAAAACAAATTTGGAAATGGAACTCACAATTTTAGGTTTGAATTGTTATTGCTGCTATTGCATGAGCAGGTCAAATTGTTTCACAAAAACCTGCGCCAACGATTGGACTAACATGTTCAATCGTCACCTGACAAAATGTGTTGGAAAATTAAAAGTGAAATTTGTCGACCATTTCTTTTATGTGCAAACAAACAAACCGAACCTTGCAAAACTGCGGTTGGTTTCATCCAATTTCCCAAGTATTTGGACGTTCGCAGTATTGAAATCCTCTTATATAGCATGGCATTGTGATACATTTTGGTGCTTAGTATTTGGTGAGTATGCAAGAAGTTTGACACACTGATCAAATCGTTAGTAAACCATTTCCAATCAAAAAATATAAAACGCAACAAACTTTGTTCAAACACGCAAAGATGTGTGTTTTATTTCTGTCACATCCATGGTACTAAAACATCCCGGCGGACGCAAACCGGCCCACAAAAATTGTCCAATTGCTCACGGCGCCACAGCGAGACGCCAACTTTGAGAATAAAAACGTGCTCCACAAAAAGGCCCTTCTAGTTTCCACGTGTGCACCTTCACAGCACCTTTGCTCCAAAAACGCGCCGAGTAACTTCTGGTGAGTTTACAAGTTTTTCAAGGTCTCTGCTGTATGTTTCATTATGTTTTTCCGGTGCATTCCCAGCGCCATTGGTAGCGTCTGAGGCACGTCCACAAACTGACGTTCCGTTTGTTCTTTTTTTGGAAGGTAAACTGTCAGGAATGGCCTTTTTAGCCCCTTTCCAGAAACCATCAATATTTCCTGTGTGGATTTTTGTCCAGCCTCGCGTAGGAAGTCTTTTGTTTAAGACTAAATGTGCCTTTGCTATGGTTGCAAGCACGATGCAACGAGCTCCATCACTGACCAGCAGTGTTTTCAAACCCTTGTGGTTCTTGCTCTTGATGCTTGACAATCCATCTGCTTGAGGATTCTCTTTTGACTTTCAGGAGGTGGTTTGCCATAAGTTTTGGCTGCACAAAGTGTCATTTCGAACATGTTGACGACCCTGCGCTGCTGATCCGCACGAGGACGTTGAAGCACTTCAAAGATTTGGTAGTAGATGTTGTTGCTGGATTTTGTATCCTTCCACTTGCGAATGCTAGTTGCATCTGCTCCTAGATCTCCTGGACACGTGTAGCGGTGTAGCGTGTCTGGAATGCACAACCGGTTTATTGTTTATGAGGTGAAAACACACAATTTAATGGAAGCGGTCTAGTCAGCCCTCGGTTCTTTGGCTGATGTTCAATGCAGCGAACTTCTGCAGTCTGCAACGCACGAAAAAGGGGACGCAAAGGAGAATTGCTGCCGCAACCTCTTCAACGGAAGGAGGAATGAGAGAACCAAAGTAACGTTTCATTGCTTCCCACAACTGAGGCAAAGGAAAGCGTAAAACTGGGAGAGCAGAAAAGGAAAGGATGTCGAACCAGCGACGGCAACCGCCACATCGCAGATAGGCTCTGCCCTTGCCTCTTGCCAATCCACCTCCCAAGGCGCTCTCACAAGAGTGTCTCCACATGTACAACGTTATTTGTCTTTCAACCAGCCAGAAGCACGTAGATTCTTCAAGCACCTTCTTCAGCTGCGCTGTTCCAATGTAGAAACGCATCAAACCAACACCGAATTGGCAATAAGGGCCTCGAACAAGGGAGGCCCCAACTCCGTCTCCAAAAATCATACCAATTTCAGGTGCCAAAAACGAACCCAAAACTAGCCCCTTGTACCGGCTTGTCTTGGTCATGACAATCTTTCCCTTTCTGTTCTGTTGATGAAAGAGGTCCCGTGCTTCCAAAGCCTGCAATCGAGGCGCTTCGAGGCTCGGCGAGGCCTGGCCGAGGCCACGCCTCGGACGCAAAACGTATTGGCACAAGGACAAAGCGAGGCTTACGGGGACTCGAAACTATATAGTACTATTGTTGAAGTCCCAGCAAGGTTGAACTTGAAGTAGTTGGCAACTGTGCTGCTGCCTTGCGTTCAAGGTGGACATTCATTACATTAGGTTATATCTCATACAAGTAGATATAACAAGCAACATCAGATTGTAAAAGCATACATGTATCATTGATATATAAATACACATATGTATTCTTAAAACAAAAGCCGCCGTGACAACCGAAGCAAAACAGCCGAAGGCTGAAAATAAATAAGTTTTCTTCAATTCAACTGTCTCCCTTCACCAATTCAAATCGGTCCTTTTAATTTATTCCTTTTTTCTCATTGCTGGATAATTGTAATGTTCAGCCAGATGTTCTGGTCAGAATTGATCCATCTTTGTCAATGGTCAAAACGCAACCCAGCGAATTATTCGGTGGGTCAATATGGTGAAAGCTGCATGCAAAGGTCAAGCAAAAATTGAGATATGAATTGATATGAGACGCCGATCAAGCAAACAAAACGATAAATAAGAATAAATAGGAGTTCCGGTATAATTCACCAATACCCATCACAGTTTCCAATTCAGGCGACCGGAGCGCATAGGACCGGAGAACAGGTGCACAATGCATTCTACCGCAGTGAAACGAATGATCCCAATGGTAAGGGCAATACCTCTTGGGAAATGCAGCAGGGACGGTTGCTACCGGATGCAAGGTCGAATGCACGGATGTTGGATAGCGAGGCGGATGCATATGTGTGACACAGAATGGATGTCACTTCGCACTGGTATGTGAATGCTATTGAACTGAAACAGTGAAACCAATTCAGGGATGTGGTGGGAGGGAGAAAAAATTAAGCAAACAATGACGCAATGAACGCTAATGCAATGAATGCCACCTTGAGCCAAAATGTTTAGGGGATATCAGATCAATCTAACGAAGTACCCCCACTAAACATTACTGAACAAGTACAGTTAACGTTCAAGGTGGACATTCATTACATTAGGTTATATCTCATACATACAAGTAGATATAACAAGCAACATCAGATTGTAAAAGCATACATGTATCATTGATATATAAATACACATATGTATTCTTAAAACAAAAACCGCCGTGACAACCGAAGCAAAACAGCCGAAGGCTGAAAATAAATAAGTTTTCTTCAATTCAACTGTCTCCCTTCACCAATTCAAATCGGTCCTTTTAATTTATTCCTTTTTTCTCATTGCTGGATAATTGTAATGTTCAGCCAGATGTTCTGGTCAGAATTGATCCATCTTTGTCAATGGTCAAAACGCAACCCAAATCGAAGCTATTGACAACAGGTGGATAATAACGCCCATAAATCCCCCAATTGAAAGTGGTATTATCCAGCAATGTCGAAAAAGGAATAGGGTAAACAGGAATACTACGCGTGTAAACGCTATGTCGGAAGTGTCCATGGAATCTGAGTATCTGGCGGAAACAGTCGAGGCTTGGCTTCGAGATTCCATAAATCATGAAGTGTCAAGGGATAACGATCATGTGGGAGGAAATGGTGTGGCGGGTCGCCATTTCCATCCCACCGGCTCAAGGCATCTGCATAGTCATTGTCATGACCTGGAATGTGTGTGATGTCAACAGCAATGCCAGAACTGGATACCAAGAGGCTGAGTTTTTCAAGAAACAGAGCTAGAGGCATTAATGTGGAAAATAATTTATTTGATGCAGCTTCAGCTGTGGTGTTATCTGAAAGTGTTGGGATGCGTATGGGAATCCTAGAACCTGGAAAAATTGGATGGTAATATATACCAAAGCAATTTGGGCCAATGTCTCAAGACTCGAAATGTCTTTTTGCAAGTTGTCATGTAATGGGATATGAAGTGCTTGGAAATCTTGAGAATGTAATGGAAGACTGAACCATGAACATTGACCTGTAGGGAAAATTATGGCACCACCGATGCCACATTGATCACCTGTAGCGTAGGCATCTGCCACGCAAGTGCCTGACCACTGTTGCTTAGGCCACATGGTGCATATGGGTGATAAATGGCTGAGCCACTGCAAGTACATTTTTAAAATGCGAGTGGAATCAGCGGACAGTTTACGTTTAATTGAGTTGGGATCTCGAATGCGTAGCCAGACTCGCTTGTCTGTCAATGTGCATGAAAAAAGGTCTGCTTTGCTTTGCACTGGTTGATGTCGAACTTGAATCAATTGGCCATTGATGGGGATTGCCGAGTAAGGTGGTTTGCGAGTGAAAATTAAGTTGTCGGAAATGCATGCACACACGGATTCCCAACTGCCAGGATCTACTGAGAATTGGCTGGCTGGGATAGCATGAAGGTCCCTGTACAAGTAATGTAACCAGGTTCGCATGGCTGGCCATAATTGGGTACACCATAAGGCCAAACCAAGGAATTTTTCCAAAGTCTTTTTAGAACAATGGGAAGAAGATAATAATTTTTCAATCAGGCTGAGTAGCTTGTCACGTTTGAGGGAAGGCAAAACAATGAAGCCAGCGCTGATATGGAATTCCCATCCGATCCAAACGATAATGGGACCAATTTCGCACTTTTTCCATGATATTGGCAATCGCAAGACCATACATAATATGGCTATGACAGAGGCACTCAAACCCAAAATTTTGGTTTCCTGGAACATCAACATGTCATCCACGTACAGGAATGAAGCGTGTGGTAAGTAGCATATTCTATGGAATAACCTT